ATAACGCTGGAAAACACAGAATGCTGGGAAATCGTTATTGATTGGGTGCGTGTATTTTGAATTAAACAATTATGGATCTCGCCTATTCCTCTGCCAGTTTTCATTTCTGTCTTACTGAAGATTTATGGATTTTTGAATCTCTCGCTCTCTTTACTTGTAATGATATTATACAGTTCATGCTCAGAATCAAAGGTATTTTTATAAAGCAATTATAATAAGACACCTGATTTTTGTCACAAACTACTTCACCTTAGCAAGCATAACATATTCTTTATAAATCATTCTATTTGTAACAGGACTCTGCTTAAAAACAGCTGAAATTATATAATTTCTTATTAAATTAATATTTTTTCGGATAAGCTTTTCAAATGATTTGATATTTTTCTACAGAAGTCACTATAAAAGTTTATGAGAATATTTGTAGTTAATTAATTTGAAAGGTTTTTGTAGCAGATTGTGATCACTTGATACCAAAATATTACATTCAGTCATAGTTGCAATGTATTTTGAGTAATCTATTCTGACATACAACAACTGTCTATGAAATTTCAATTAGAATAATATTTGAAACAACTGCTGGGTACATGACAAGATTACTGCCTAATGGCCCTTTCCATTTAGATTATAACATGTGTACATGAGCTGAAGTGTGGTTCAGAGGCAAGACAGCAGGCTCAGGAAACATGAGGACCACAGTTCAAATCCCCTGTTGGGTACTTTTGGGGCAAGCAAGTCAAGCCATTGTGACTTGAGCAGAAGCACTGACATTTTTCACCAGTTCCAGCTAGGAAGCGATCCTTATTGCAAACACATATTGATGAGTCTATAAGGCCTCACTTACTCTTATGTAGAGGAACACATATTTCTGTCAGAAACCATTGGCCACTGCTTTAATGCCTGCAATCTACCTGAAAATGTCTCACCCCTTGCTTCCACACAGTGCATGAAGTTTCAATGGGTCCAATCATTCCAAAACTCAGGGAGAAAGGCAAAGTGAAATGATTTTACTATTTTTTAATGGAATAGCCTTACAGCTGAAGTGGTAGAGGTTAACACAGTAAAGGAGTTTAAGCATGCGTGGGATAGGCATAAGGCTATCCTAACTATAAGATAAGGCCAGGAACTAATGAAAGTATTTAGAAAATTGGGCAGACTAGATTGGCAGAGTGGTTCTTATCTGCTGTCACATTCTATGTTTCTATGGTGGAAATTGAGATTATGGTACACTATCTCATAATAATACAATGCCTTGATGCCATATACCATAGAGGATCTCCACAATATTAGGCAGGTGGTTTTAATGTTGTGGTTGATTAGTCTCTGTCATTTAGATATTTTAAAAATGGGAAATACAATTTGATCTATACACTTAAGTATATAGTTGTGGTACTCAATATGGTGCAGATAAAAGACTAGATTGGTTAATGTGTATACAAGCTGTATTACGATTATCCTGTTAAAGATAACTTATATACTGTGATAAAGCAAAACCGAAATAATATGAAATGCATGGCAATAGTTTTCTTTTAATATGTTGTATACTCTTGAAGCAGAAACACATATGTGCATATATATATATATATCCATATCCACTAATAGAGTATATTGCATTGTTTGAGTGTGTTAACGTGTATATTTCTCAGTAACGGAATTGATCTGGAGATTTTAGACCCTTTACCTAATTAGCATTTTGGTGACATGGCTTGCATATAGCCTGTGATTACAGACTCCGTGATTATAGCTTGCAGAGTTTGGCTAACACTTAGGAAATTGGATAATTATACTCCTGTTATTTAGTTTCTCTAGAATTTTGGCTGTAAAAAGCAAGGTTGCAAGCGGTAGGGATTTAAAGAGGTTCTTAAACTGTAATTATTAATATTAGAATGGAAAGCAACCATATGCAATGACAATACATTAAATCAATACATACATATTTACATATACATTAATGGAAACATATTATTTTATTAACCCCACAAGGACGGAGGCAATTGTCCAAGTACAGAACCAAAAAAAATCCTGGATTTTGAGCTAATGTCTGTACAACCATCATTTCTATTAAAGTGCACCCAGCTCTTAGGGCGCACCGGCCTGGGAGGCGCAAGATGCGTTTGGCAAAAAGACAGATGATGAAGGGGCAAAAAAGAGAGACAGGGATCTGTGGGGAGAGAGGGGCTGGGTGGACACAAAGAGACACAGAGGGGCTGGAGAAGGGGCAAAAGTAGCAGACAGGGACTAGGGAAGGGGCAAAAGAGACAGGCAGGGGAAGGGGCAAAACAGACAGACAGGTGATTGGGAGGGGGGCACCCTGAGGGGCTGAGGGATACAAAGAGACACATAAAGGCTGGGGAAAAAGTGGTGTGTGGAAGAATCAGTGGCTGGAGAGTGAGTGAACTGGGCTAGATGAGGGAAGTGATGACGGCAGTGAAATTAGAGAAACGTCACCCAGGAAGACCGTAAGCTATCCAAAAAAGGTGTGTTTTCAGTGACTGTTATAAAGAAACAGGGCAGCCCTTGAAATTTATTTATTGAAACATTAAAAATGAAGCCATCGAACACATTCAGCCACTCAACCAGCACACACACTGTCACACTGAACCTCCCCCATATACAACTCTTAGCTTCGTCCACATATACAACACTAAGTCTGTACACACACACACAGTACTCAGTCTCCCTGACACACATACAAAATTCAGCCACCACACACACCACTCATAGAACAGAGCACAGGGTTCTAAGTGCGGTACCCAATCTGACATCCTGCCTGCCCCTGGAAACCTGAATCTGGCTCTGGCTTTTGGGGTGCTCTTTTAGCTTTTAACTCATGATCTTTTGTTTTATTTATAATATTAATTAGTAGTATAAAAAAAAACATAGAAGACATTTGCTCATGGCTGTTGGGTTCACTAGTCTAATGAGCACAATAATTAAAGGTGGAAAAAATCTACAATCAACAGATATCTCTGAAACAAATACTTTGTGAATTCAACAGTCAAATGGAAACCTTTAAATGGAAACAAAGTGCTCACTTACCTGTGAGAGATCTCCGGGAGATCTACATAAAAATATGTCATTCCTAAAGTCTATGCATCCAATAAACGTATCTGATAACAAGAATGTATTATTTTGTGTCTGCATATTCCCTTACATGTAGCATATAGAATATAAAAACTTACTATGCTTCATGTTTGCCAAATCATCACTGTATCACAATGTAGGAAGGACCTTTTCTATCCTAACTGGATGGCTACTTTGATTAAATTAGCACACATAATAGGAAACATACTACGGGGCTCTTCCACCCTCCTTTCAGGTGTTTTAATAAGGTCCTATAATGAAACACTTGTGCCATATATACGTGCTAAAATTTGATTATTTTTTGTCAATGCTCCCAAATAAATTATGAAACAGAAGTCAACATGAATACAGGACAATTATGCAAATATAAATGAATTAGAACATAAAGCTCCATATTTATCCTCTGTGGTGTTACACTGTAAACGATAAAAACTTCCGTGTGGAATAGTCTCTCTCTTATTATCGGGAATGAAGGTGCCGGTGGTAAATAATTCAATATCTCAGTAATATACTGCTAGAATTCTATAGGAGGCTGCCAAAAGTTTTCATTATATTCCACACTATTTTGTGTTATGAAAAAAAAGCTTTAAAGCGACAGTGCAGTGTAAACTTGATACATTGTTTTTAATGCATTGTATAGATCGGTGGTTTTCAACCATCTTTCTATGGCACTCTGGCAGGCCAACTCAAAGTGTTCTGTAAAAAGACGTCTGGACTGTAAGAGGTTAAAATCAGTGTTTTTTGCTAAGTGTCGACATTCAAACTGGGATTGCCATTATTCAATTAATAAAAAAATTTGTAAAAAATTATTTGGCTGTAGGCATGTATGTCAATTGAGTAAGGTAGCAATTTAACGTGACATTAAGCTGCTGGTGAAGGTAATAATTAAAAGAAAGTACGACTTGGAAAATGTTCTCTGGTTGAAATGTGACTTGGTCCAAAAAGAATTGAAACCACTAATAAAGCTAATGCTTTAAACAACATATTAAAAAAGTCAATCCAAAATAATAAAATATAAAAAAGATACAAATTTATAAAGTTTCTTCTTTATGTGCAAATTCCTACACATGGAATTTTCTGCTTTGAGCGTTTACTGCAGGAAGTAGCTTGACTAGTCAGGAAGTGAAGACATTCTGCGGAATCTCAAATGTTGGACATTTTTAACCCAACATTGGAAGAGGCAAAGTCTAGGGTTGAAGAGGCTGACTAGCAAAGCCCCGATTCTGCTCACAGCAGGGATTTCTGAGACTCGAGATTCACTTGTTTGTTTTATTCTCAAGTAAGCTGAGTTATTGGTAATGACAAGGGGAGAAAATAAGCTGTATACAGGTAGATAGGACACAAAGAAGGATCTATCATATAATGGATGAGGTGGAACACGGGAGAAAGATTTAAGATGCAAAATTCTACAAAACTTGCACTAAAAAAAAGCATATTCTGAAAGAGCTCCTTAACTACACTGCTAAAAAGCTTATCCTGCCAGCTCATCAAGCTCATTTAGTGACCAAACTGGAGCACTACCAGATTCCTGACTCAGGGGGCACATCTTGTATACGTATGCGCACCAGTAAGAACCTACTTTCACCTTACTGAACCATGCGGCCTAACTCACACCGGGACGGAGAGGCAGCCGATCTTCATTGCCCGGAGGCGCCCGGCAGCAACCTTCCAAGACAAGCAAGTACCCCGTTACCCCCCCCCCCCTTAGGACCGGTGGGAGTTATCCCGGTCCAACCCTGTGTGGTTTCCCTGCTGAAGCAAATACACAGGGAGAGGTGAGAGGAGAGGCTAGTACAAGTGGCAACTCACCCATCATGGCGGACATGGTGTGCCCCCTTGACTCCAGCGCAGATCAGCCTGATGTACACACCAGGCTGCAATGAATCTTCAACTAATTTTGGTGCAAACTCGAGCAGAGGATGCTTCATAGTGGTCCAATACAAGCAAGGACATACCTATCCCGCATAACATCGCCACGTACCCAGCAGGTGCCCTCAGTCCAAGCAAAGGAGAAGGCCCCAAAATGGTGGAGAAAGAAGCGCTGCCATCTGCTTAAGTGCAAAACAAAGCAGAAACGCCAGAGACCAGCAGCACCTGGGCTGAAGTGTGGCACCGTCAAGTCGGGACGGGGATCACCCAGACAGGCTGTGGCACTGAGCAGAACGCGGCATATTGTACACCGAATAACCTGTCATCAGGGAACGCCAGCTTTCCTAACACGCGATCCTGTGACCTGCGCCATAGTGTGAGACTGTGATCTGCCATCAGTGGGCATAGGCTGAGAGAAGCTTAGTAGATCTAATTTCATCCATGTTGTGGACTTCCATGCAACATACTTTGATAGCAGTACATTAATAAGTACTTTTCTCTCACTCTAAGCTTCAACTCTCACAGAGCTTTCTTCTTCTCTGTATACTTTATTTTACACAGCTTGTTAGACAGCAATTATTGTATGTAAGGTATATTGATGCAGCCTAATCTAACATGGTTTCTCTGATACAAATAGTAGCCTATTACCAACCCTACTTAGCATAACTCTTTTGACAGATATGCCACACGTGTTTCTTGCTATACGCATATAATTATGGCCTATTTACCTGTGCCTCCATTGTCACCACATTGCGTTCTTATGCCTCCATACTCCCATGCTGATGTTGCCACCAATCTTGTACTTCATAGGCTTTTATCACTACATGCTCTTTCAGTGATACCACCCTGGTTAAACCCACACAACCCAGTGGTTAATACCGCTTGTATTCTGTTCTTTTCTTAAGTTCAATTATGTATTGTTAAAACCTGTTAATCCTAAATGTCCTACTATGCACACGTATTTAGCTAAATTTGCACTGAATACAATTGGACATGGAAGTCTCACCTGCATATGTCATGTTTAAAAAAAAAAAATGGCGCACTTCCCCCAAAGCCACAACACTGTTTATTCTGTGAATTCTGTTGAGCCTGATTATGCTGCTGGGGCTCTGCAATGATCCATGTATTATCTTTGTGCACTGAAAAAAATAAAGATTTTTTATTTATTTTTAAAGCGTAGTCTTATCTTTTATATTTAGCCATTATAATCAACACTGTTTTTTTTTTATAAGTTATTTTATAAGTTATGCAACATATAAGCACATTTTTGAACAAAGCTGGACATTGAGTCACTGTTTCTCATTTTCAGTGATCATCAGATCTGTAGAAATGACATATCAAAACCAGTTTTACCGATGATCATATTCATCCTTGCAACGCTTCTATTTATATCAGTTGAATAAAGTCATCAAGGAAAGGTCAGATTCTTCGGGGACATAAGAGCATTGCTCATGAATGGATTTCATTTAATGTGAAAGGTGACGCACTCAGTACAGCATACAACTTATTTTTTAACGTGATGTGTATGAGAGATTTTAGGTTCTGAACATGAGAAGAACTGTGTCATATCATATTGTGTCATCGTACTTTTATTATTCGGCAAATTGACCTTCTTCTCCCCTCGATTAAATTTCAGCCACTGTTGGCTAAATCCCTTACAATATTTAGATGGCCTGCATATATTTGCATTTTGACCAGGAAATGTCAGTTTGATAAAGCTTTGTATTCACTTGATGAATTAAACGGATAGGAGATGTAGATTGTTGTGTTATATTTAAATAGTGTTTTTTCGGCTATTCGCATTGGTACACAGAGTGAACAATAGACTTTTGCATGGTGGAATAATTCGGTTCAGCTGATTCAATTTGTCCGGGAAAAAAAATTTGTTTGGTTAACCGAATTACCTTAAATTCTGATAAATTGCAAAGTTGGTGAAGCCGAATGGCCACGTTAACAATGAGAGGTTACGAATATCTGGACTGTGTATAAATGTGTTTCCATGAGAAAAATTGTATAATTGCAACAGAAATGCTACACAGAAAATTAGCCCTGGACTCAAACTCCCACTAATCTTGGACAGATACAATGGCTCGAATACTAAGCAGCTCAAAGACATAACCAAAACCAAACCAAAATGTTACCTGTACACTTACCCATATCCATATATCCATTTACATTACAGAGCACCTGGGCCCTATGCAATAGCCAGTGAATAGAAAGCTCACCTGTGAGTGTCAAGGCACACCTGTAAGGTGAGACTAAAATAATGTCTGCACTAACATTCACAAAGATTCCTATAAAACACAAATATGAGTGCATCAGGTGCAGCAAAATCCAAAACTGATCTAACATTATCTAGTTAGTTCATCGTAAATTATGTAAAAAAATATGTGCAAATATGCACTGCTTTTTTAAGATCCCTACACTGAACGCCAGTTCTCTGCTATCCTGCATTTGCCATTTTATAAGTAAAGTTGCAAATATAAAACCACAAGGCTGCTGTTTTGAGATCTATTTTAATTTCACTGGAATATGACTCAAAATGCTGTATAATTTCCACAATATTGTACTACCACCGTATATCTTTTTGTACCACAATCGTCAGTAAAAAAAGAAAGAATTGAATAAAAAATCAGAAGGTTGTAAAAATGCCCCAGTTTGTCCTCATGCATAAAAGCCCATTTAGAAATCTTTTTACATCCATTATAGGTGTAAGATTAACCCCTTAAGGACATATGACATGTGTGACATGTCATGATTCCCTTTTATTCCAGAAATCCTTAAGGGGTTAAAATGTGATCACACAGCTTAAAGGGACACTATAGTAACCTGAATAACTTTAGCTTAATGAAGCAGTTTTGGTGTATAGAACATGCCCCTGCAGGTTCACTACTCAATCCTCTGCCATTTAGGAGTTAAATCCCTTTGTTTATAAACCCCAGTCACACCTCCCTGCATGTGACTTGCACAGCCTTCCATAAACACTTCCTGTTAAGAGAGCCCTATTTAGGCTTTCTTTATTGCAAGTTCTGTTTAATTAAGATTTTCTTATCCCCTGCTATGTTAATAGCTTGCTAGACCCTGCAAGAGCCTCCTGTATGTGATTAAAGTTCAATTTAGAGATTGAGATACAATTATTTAAGGTAAATTACATCTGTTTGAAAGTGAAACCAGTTTTTTTTTTCATGCAGGCTCTGTCAATCATAGCCAGGGGAGGTGTGGCTAGGGCTGCATAAATAGAAACAAAGTGATTTAACTCCTAAATGACAGTGAATTGAGCAGTGAAATTGCAGGGGAATGATCTATACACTAAAACTGCTTTATTTAGCTAAAGTAATTTAGGTGACTATAGTGTTCCTTTAAGTTTAGAAATAGTCATATTGAAGCCTTGGCTAGCTATACTTCTGGCTCTTAAAATACCATAATAAATTGGAATGTCTGTCTTAAAGAGGGTGTTGTTGGTTGAAACACCAGACTGCCTATTTGTGTAGGTTTAAAGTTAAACAACCCTGTATGTAATCTGCGTCCTGTCTTTGAATCCATCTGTGTAACTGCTATTTATATTAACTACAGTTCAAACATGTGTCTGACAGCCTCCATTAGTTTTCTGTTCAGTCTCTGAGTAATGGAGCCTAGGACGGTGCTTGAGCCTTCAGTATATTCCCTTGAGAATGATTTTCATTATTTTTGTTAATAAAATAATCTAATAAAACAACTTAACATAATATTTTTTCTTCACATTTGTGATAACATGAATGATCAGGACTTGGTTGCATTTGTGTGTATATTGTTTGTAATATTGATAACGACATAATCAATCAACAAGAGGTTACACACTTATAAAACTAACCCCAGCGCTACCAAAAGTGTATGTTTGTGGTCTTGGATTTTTTTTTTTTTTTGCATGAATTTGCAATGGATAACCAAATTAAATAAATACCCTTTTACGTTCACCTCCCATGGCCTTCCTCACCTGGCGGAGAAAGAAATGTCTCTACTGTGTCTCCAAACATTCCCTCTACCTGAAACAGAGAATTTGTAAATGGTGTCATTCCCGCTTTCCCTTTTTTTCAGCAGTCAGTATGGCTCAGTCTATAAAGTGCAGCTGAATAGCAAACAAGGCAGGTTGATGAGTTTGGAAGGACTGTAAGTGCACATCAGGGCTTTAACGTAAATTTCACATTTTGTACATTTTCTTTTTAGCCATGCTATATGTACTGCCTGTGGCCATTATGAGTGTGTTTGGCTAATATTTCTATGTATACTTCGCCCATAAACAGGTATAATATGAACCTTTACTTTTTGGGATCTGTGTCTCCAAAATAACTCTAGGCTATTCATCAGCACTTAGCGTTCTTCTTCATGATATTTGGCCATATTTTATTTTGGAAGCTGTGCACATAACTAAAACGCAGCTACCTGTCTGTGTTACTATCTGTATTAGCATTATCCTTCCTTCCTGACTCAGATTTTCTGATATTTGCCATTTGTTACTGCTTGATATCCTGTAGTAAGCACCTTCCGTGACTCTCAGTTAAATGGCCCATAGACTGTAAAGCAAATAAAGGCAGATTGGTTGCTAAGAGTGAGAGGGCTAAGCGTATTCTCTAACTGTTTCCTATTTGCACTCCTTGAAGGCGAGGGCCGTGTATGCTGTCATTAGATCTAGATTCATTTCCAAGTTTCTTTTGGGGTGACGGGGGGTGGTGGGAGCACATTCACACGTTATCCAGTAAAATTCTGCTAGTAACATTGTACACTGTACTGCATTACAATTTAATATACATACAGCGCTTCAAGTTCTTTAATCACATGTTTGTGGTTTCTTTTTTTTTACCGTAGTATTGATGTCTATTTAGTGTTTTTTTTAAATTCTGTCTGTCTATCATCCTACTCTCTGTCTATCTCATATACAAATTATAATACAGACAATTTAATCTTTAATGAATGCATTTTATTAGAAATTAATGAACGGAAATAATAGCATTAACAGACCGGTGTTTCATTGATTAGAGAAAATGTAATTAGGAGGGTTGTAAGAAGTGTCCAGCCCAGCAACACACAGCAACACAGAGTCCATCCCAGCCATACAGTACACAGCCCAGCCATACAGTACACAGCCCAGCAATACAGAGCCCAGCCCAGCCATACAGTACACAGCCCAGCAATACAGAGCCCAGCCCAGCCATACAGTACACAGCCCAGCAATACAGAGCCCAGCCATACAAAGCCCAGCCCAGCCATACAGTGCCCAGCCCAGCAATACAGAGTCCCGCCCAGCCATACAGTACACAGCCCAGCCATACAGAGCACAGCCCAGCAATACAGAGTCCCGCCCAGCCATACAGTACACAGCCCAGCAATACCCAGCCATACAGCC